GGAAAAGTTAAACAGAACATGAACTAGATTAATAGTTATATTTGGGGAGAATGGACAGAGTTGCAATCACTCTAAAATCAGCTCCATATGTATAGGTCTATAAGCATATTATACCAATTCCAGAAAGACCATTCTGTCATATAATTCAGGGACTGTAAAGATGTCAAAATGGGATGAAAGGAAGACAACTATAGCTACAACCCTTTAGGAGTGAATGAACGGAGTAAAATTAAACTCTTCATTCAGTCCTTTAGGGTATAATGTTTGAAAAGAATAGATCCAGCGAGACTCAGCTTTTAATAGAGAGATGTTAATATCACCTTTACGGTGGTTCTGAAACACTTTTTGAATTACCTGAAATTTAGGTACAGTAGGTTTAGAGGCATGGTTGAGTCATACATGTTTTGCAATGGGCGTTTCTACATGTGGATTCGTAATGGAGTTAATGTGTTGTAGATTCCGTCGCGTAATTGTTGATATGTTTTGCCAATGTACTGTAACCCACAGTCGCACGTTATAAGGTAAATCACGTTGGTGGAGCTACAGTTGATAAATGAATTGACCCCTATGTCTTTAGATGTTCTCTTGTTGTGTACTGTTTTAGAAGGTAAAATAAAATTGCAGGCTTTACAATGCCCTCATTTAAAGAGACCTTTCGTTTGAAGCCAAGTGGAGGTAGTTTGTAAAGGTTTTAAATGGCTATGTGTTAAGTAGTCTGCCAAATTTATTGCTCTCCGGTAGGTCATCAAGGGCTAATTAGCAATGGTGTTTTTAAGGCATGTGTCATATTGTAATAATGACCAATTGCGGCTCAGCACTTGCAATGCCTGAGTACTGTGTTTGTCGTATGTGCTTATGAATCTTGTGACCCCTGGGGTGGTAGGAATGTTTCGAGGAGGTCTATGTAGACTCTCTGATCTGTCCACAGCTTTAGTTCTTTGATAAGATTTCTTCAAGATTCTATTAGGATAACCTAAACTTTTGAATCTACTTTTTAGCTCTTTGGCTTCCTTTTCATAGTCCTCCTGACTTGAACAATTCCTTTTGGCTCTTAAATATTGGCCATAAGGTATATTCAACTTCACATGGTGTGGATGGAAACTTTGCCAGTGAAGTAAACTGTTAGTTGCCGTAGGTTTCCTATACAAGGACGTTGTGATTTGTCCATCATCCAAGATGCTAATTGTCAAGTCCAGGAAGACCAATTGTCTCTCATGTATAACATGAGTAAGTTGGAGATTAATCTGATTGTCATTTAAAGAGTCAACCATCTCTTTAAATAGTGAAAGGCAGCCTAGCCAAAAGATTAGCACATCGTCTATATAGCGATACCAATGTAATATGGAAAAGGTGTAGATATCATTGGGACCAGTGAAGACAGTAGTCTCTTCCCACCACCCCAGAAACAAGTTGGCATAACAGGGTGCACAAGATGAGCCCATGGCGGTCCCTCATAGTTGCAAGAAATATTTACCATTAAATGTAAAGTAATTGTGCGTTAGCACAAATTTTAATAAACACAGTATGAACTGTTGTTCCTGTTCGTTAAATGTCTTGGCTTTTTCCAGGAAATAGGCAACCCCTGCTAGTCCTTGATCATGTGGAATATTGTTATATAGGGCCACCGCATCCAGGCTTGCCAAGGATGTATAGGGTGGTACTATAAGGTTTTCTAATACCAACAAAGTCTGTTTAGTGTTTCGTATGTGGGATTTGAGACCTAGTACTAAGGGTTGAAGCAGATTGTCTAAAAACTGGCTAGCCCTCTCAGTTAAACTATGATTACCTGAGACAATAGGTCTCCCCGGAGGATTACACAAATCTTTGTGCACCTTGGGGAGACAGTAAAATGTAGCTATAGTAATATTAGACTGAGACACTATGTATCTATATTCATTTTGTGTAATGTTTTTTTCTGTTAGGGCTCCTTGCACTAATGTTTGTAATTCTTTAAAGTATTGTTTAGTGGGGTCCTCTTTTAGTGTCTGATATGCCTTTTCATCTGATAGATGTCTCATGCACATATCTACATATTGGTCCCTCTGCATAAGGACAATGTTGCCTCCTTTATCTGAAGACTTTATAACTACCTCTGTTGCTATTTGTAATTCTTGTAGAGTTTGTCTTTCTTCTGATCTTAAATTAGAGGTAGGAGGTTGTTGAGGAATATGGCACTCCAATTCTTTAGTGCAAATTTGTACAAATAAATCAATGCAAGGAAATTATTTCAAGTTTGGAGTAAACCAACTAGGAGGTTTAAAATTAGTCAAAGAGTTCAAAGGTTCTTGTTCAGAATGCAATTCCGTCAGGAGTTTAAATAGGGCATTGTCCTCTGACGAGAGACCCAATTCTCTTAAATTTTTAAGATTTATTTTTTCATGAAATGCATGCAGGGCCAATTTACGGCCAAACAGATTTACATCCTTCGCCCAATCAAACATATTTCTAGAGGGTGTTGGTACAAAGGATAAACCTTTCTGTAAAAGTGAAATGTGTCTAGACTTCAAAGCAAACTTGGATAAATTTATTATTTTGTTTTCTTTTGATTGATCAGTTATTGGAAGTTGAACTTGTGTGTCTTGTACCCCCATTTTTTTTCCTGTCTCTCAGACTCTTATCTGTATTTTTCAGAATCCCTCTAGTTTGAACTGTATATGTTTGTTGTGTGTTTCTAGAGGGAAATCTGTTTTTGTAACAGGGTCTAGTTTCTGATTCGGACCACTCAGTTTCATCAGAGGAAGAAAATCCTTTGTTCCTCATCATGCCATTTCTAAGTCTACGTGTATTTTTATTTTTGAAAATATTGCCTTCCTGAAAATCCCTGTAGTCCCTTTCAAATTTATAATGTTTTTTTTGTCTAATATTCTTTTTGAAGTTCGCTAAGTTTTTATTTAGCTTAATTTCCATAGCTGAAAAATTGGGTTCCTTGTCAAATGTTTGTATTCTCTTAATTTCAATGTCTAGTTCTCCATTGGTCTTTTCTAAATTCTCTTGTTCTAACTTAATAAGAAATTGCATTATTTTAGCTGAACATTCTAACAATATCGAGTTCCATTCTACAATCTGTTCTTCTGTTTTAACTTTGACTGGTAATAACGCTCAGCCTCCTTTCTTCTTTTACTAGTTATACCAACTTTAGATAGGATATTTTCTTTATAAAGGTAGCCACTGTGCTTTTTTATTTTGTATCTATATTAAAAGTTATATTTTAATAGATATGGGGTTGCTTTATTTTAATATCAGATACCCATTCGTGTACCGGTTGCATTTATGTACCCTTGGGGTTTTCTGATATCTTTTTCTCTTTTGTTGTTTCAATAGCTAGGGGTTACCCCCCATTTCTTCAAGCAACCTGACTCACTCTCTCTACCTTATCTCTTATAACTATTACGTTTCTATGAAAATTTAAATTTTAGTTTTTTTGCGGCCAACATAAACTTAAACCTTGTTTATTTGGCCCTTGCTAGCCTTTGAGTTTGACATGCTTGTGTTAGATGATGCTGGATATTATGTATGAAAGTGCATCTTCCAAAAAACTAGTATGACATTTACAGAGCAAACAAAACATTACAAACTCAGGAAGATTATTTCCAATAGTTCATAGTGTTTTTTATAATGTATTAAACTGAATAACTAATGTTAACTAAACAATGTTAGGTTAACTAAAAATTGTTATGGCAGCTGTGCTAACTGTATGCAGGGAAGTTGGTTATAGGATCAGAGTCCATTTGTTCAATGGACTGCTCTATTCATAAAAGAAATGTTAAAGGGACACTATAAGCACATACACAGACTGACCCCACACACACTATAATTACCTTTCAGGGTTAACTTCACCTCTAGTGGCTGTCTATCAGACATTAGTGTCCCAAAACCCCAAAACTGGTTAAACACACTTTTTATGATTCCTGCATTCACTGGCATTAAAAAGCTCTCACATCATTATATTTTTAGGTCATTATTAGTCAAAAATGTGGCTTGCAGTATAGAGAAGATTGTATAACAGCAGCACTGGTGATAATATTTTAGTTGGTTGGCTTTTGGAGTTTTTTGTTTTATGTTGAATGAGGTCCTTTGTTTTGAACATATGGCAGGAGTTAACTCTAATGCTCACAAGCTGCCTACTTATTACCTGTCTGTAGGTGATGAGAAAGGAAAAGAGAGCTGGAGGGCCAATTATGCTGAGCAGCATTGTTGGGGAGTTATATGAACTCTTAAACTCTTATAATAACAGCTGCAGTAGTTAAGTACATTAAATTTGTATTCTGGTTGCAGGAGCAGATTTGAAGAGTAAGCCCTGTGACGTTAGCAGATTATTTACCAATTACGCATTGTTGGTGTGACATCTCTGCAGTGCCCTCTGTTGACCTAATGGAAATGTGTCAATTTACGTAATGTTGGTACGTAAATTAGTGCAACCAAATAAGCAGGTACATGAATATATGTTTTGCTTTTTATTGTGTTTAAAAGTGTTACTTGTGTTATAAATGTTATGTATTAATTATGGTTGCTTGTTCCCCATTTTTATGTATATTTGTATTTAAACGTTTTTTTACCAAAGGCACCAGAGGCTAGTCCTTGTTCTAAACGAAGTATTGCATGGTAGTTCTGTTGGTTCTGTTTGCTGGCTTGTACTTTCAGGGACTCCAATATCAGAGATTTTGGGCCTGCTTTCTAGCTGCACTGCATCCTTGTACCATGGACCTTTAAGAAAAGATCGGGCCTGATAGCCCAATGCTTCTTTGTAAAGACAATAGTAAAAGCTAAGTCGGTAAGTTCCTTTGTTAAGGCAGCAGTAGTAGGCAATGCAGGCAGAGAGCTCAATATGTGCCTAAAAGACAGAGGTCGATACATTCCTAAAAGGGTTCTTTACCTGCCCGGAAGGAGCTGAACAGGCAGGGGTGACAATACCTGGGTCCTGCTTCAACTCATACACACACTGCTCCCCCACACACAGACCATGTGGGGTCGGGGGGTCAGTCAGTGTGTGTGGGGGAGTTAGTCTGTGTGTGTGGGGTCAGTCTGTGTATGTATGACCCATACATACACAGACTGACCCCACACACACACAAACTGAACCCCCACACACACTGACTGACCCCCCCACATAAACTGATCCCGCCCCCCCCACATAGACTGACCCCCAGACTGGTCCATACACACACACACACACACACACACACAGACTGAGCCCCCCCCACACACAGACTGACCCCCATACACATATGTATTGGGATCTGTGCCTACCCAGGTGCCTTGAGAGGTTTCACAGAGTGGATGATACCTTCCTCCAAGTAACTTGCTCCAGTGTATAGAGAGGGTGTGTGCCCACCCAGACTCTGGCCAAAACCTACTAAATGTTCCCAGCTACTGTCCCTTCCTCCTTTCTTCACAGGGATATCCCTGCTAAGACCACCATTCTTGGGGAGATATAGTCACTGACTGGACCCAGTTGTCATTGTCCATCCTTTCTGGATGATACACCTGGGGCTGTTCCAGGGATCCATATATTTACAAGCCAACCCAAATATCTCTGAAATACAGCAGACTATTTTCACAGTCAGGAATGCAATTAAACAAACAGTTGCATGAGACTGGGACCATACAATAAATTCCTAAAATTCTATAATTCTTGTGCATTCGTTATGCACAAGGGCTAACTAATTACAATAAACTATGGTAAGTTGTGTAAATCGTAACCCAAAACCGGGCCCTAAACATACCTACTGGTTCCAACCGTTTTCCAATCTATATGCCCAGTGTCAAAACAGACCTCTAGTACAAATGAATCCCAACGTTTAACTAAAATGTAACCTATGTACCTTAAAAATGCCCATTATTCTTAGACACGTTAACAGTGGAGATGCCAATATTACTATACTATACTACACTATATACTATACTGAACCATGTATACAAATAGAACAGGAACAAGACTGGCCACTTTGAGTTTTCAATTAATTATATTTTAAATAATACACGCATATATATGTTTTTTGTTTTTATAGAAAATTAAATAATCAATTAGTATAGGTAAAAAGTAAACAGTAATTTGTACAAACTCACATCAAAGTATTTTTCGTGATGCGGGCTTAAGGAATGATTTCTGTAGAGTTAGATGCTGCACTTAGCTCATTGAATTTGTTATGTATAAGCACTGACAGGTGACATTATATTGATGTGATGTCATGTGTCACAGCACATACGATGACATTATTGCTTTTGAACTCTTCAATTTGTTTTTTTTGTAGCAAATCTGCAACTGCATATGGGTATAGGGGACAATGTATGTATAAATTAAACTTATATCATGGAAAAACTGTGGAACACACCAAAATGTATGGAAGTACTTTAGCTTCAGCTATGCACCTAAGCCTTGAAAGTCTCTTAAATGTTGTGTAGAAATAAAGCTAAATAAAGAAATAAAGTTACCTAACTTTTGCAATCCTCCGGATAATTCACTTAATAATGGATTTTTTCTGGATGGACAAAATTCAAAGACAATGGCTGAGTTCTCAGTTTTATTGAGGTTGGAATTTGATTGGTCTGACCAAATCTGCTCCAACTGGCTGGATGCATTCAGTGTTTGCTTTAAATTCAGTTTAAAATGTAAGATTCAGAATATTTCAAAAGCTCCAATAAAAAAAAAGGGAGACCAATTGCACCCAGCAGGATATACATTTTTAATTTAATTTATGTCATCTCACTTTTTTTTTGTTTAATTTCCCCAACCCGCTGGCCACAGGTGGGGAAAGCTGGTGAACAGTGATCTTTCCACTCCCAATTATTTAATTTAAATTAAGTTAAGGCTAGGTCCAACCCTTTTGTTTGACAGGCCCCATACACGTGGGATGGAGCATTTCTAGTTGCTGGACAACCATTGCTGCTAAGTCGCTAGCTTTTAATGTTGTGTAAGCATGCCCCACCTGCTGCATGGTTGGTAACGGTAGAGGAGGTTTTAAACCTGCCTTATGGTAACATGGGGGTCATGTTGAACCCAAAGGCTTATTTGTTTTTTATATTTTAAAGTGGCACCTGGCTAGCAAGAGCTGGCAAGCCTCTACATGATTAACTCTTCAAGGGTTTGTTAACTATTGGCCCATTGGCTGTTAGCTCTGCCAGTGCTCAAATAGTTAATATTTTTTATTTTTTTTACTCTGGCTTATTCAAGGCTTTCTCTGAAAAATCTGGACTTTATTAAATAGCATGAACAATGTCTGGATTTTGCATTCCTAATGGCCCTATATAGTGCCAGATTGTTTTACCAAATGCAGTTTGGGTCCATTTGGAATTTATTGAATAACCTTGTCTGTTTTCAATTTACTTCAATTTAATGTTTAGAGAAAAAAAAAGTAAGAGTATATAATAAGGCTATTTTAATATATTATAATAAGACCTCAGTTAATTGAGTGATAACAACATGCTGAAAACAAAAGGTTTATTGTTGATAGATTTTTATTTTCATAAATACACTTGTAGAAATACTGCACTATCATATCTTCCATTACCCTCTATTTTTCTTCAAGCCTGCATCTCTAAACGTGGAATAAATAGAACCTGTTTTTCTCTATTAAAGGGTTACTTGAAACACTTTTACATCTTCATTGATTTGAAGTGGTCATTGTGGTAGGAGTCATGATGTGCAGTGTTTCTGCTAACACTGCACATTCAGAGATATATTACCTTTTGTGCCAGGTGCACCCTTCCTCCCCCTCTTCCTCTCTTCCTCCCCTTGCCAGCTGAGAGCACGGAAATGCTTTCTAAACCAGCAAAAATGTCCACTTACAGGAATGTAGATTGCTTGGCCCTAATCATACGCACTGACTCCAGCCTATCCCCAGTCTATACACCCAGTGATTGGGCATAGAGCAGGGCTATGCAACCTTTGGCACTTCAGATGTAGTGGACTACATCTTCCTTGATACTTTATTAGCATTATGGCTCTTAGAGCATTATGGGAAATGCAGTAACATCTGGAGTGCCGAAGGTTGGCCTACCTCCGGCATAGACACCTGTGATTGAACTGGGCGAGTGCAGGCAAGATGTCGGAGCCAAGTGCTTCACCCAGCACTGGATGTCATGTTTAAAACCTTTCTACAGGTTTAAAGAAGTAGGGGACCTATTTGTAAAGCCCCATAAGGCTTATAAATTAATTAAAATAATAGTCTTAAACAGGGTTGGAGTAGCCCTTTACAGCAAGCAGATTAATCAATAGAAAACTGTGCCTACTGATTGTGCCTGCATTTTCTATCTCTGGATATAGAGCACCATAACGCAGATACATGAAGAGGTACTGTGACCACACATATATATCTACTAAAAACATACAGGGTTATGCACTAATGTGAGAACTGACAGAAATTAAATCTGAATTTAATGTGAATTTTCAAACATTTTAAAGCCTTAATAAATGAAAAGATTCTCCAATTCAGCTATGCTTACAGTTCGGCTATTTTCACCCTACATTTGAAATTCGCTTTTAATTCACTTTGAATTCCCGGCAGTTCTCACATTTGTGAACAAGCCTAAAGTGCACAATAAGAACCTGAACTAGCAAAGATTAAAATCCTCCCAACTAAATCACAAAATCCTACCAGAGATATAGTTAGCTTGTCACAATACATTGAATTCTAACAGTGACTTCCTGTGTATGTGTGGCTTGCTCAGAGCTTCACTACATTGATGGTGTGCATGTTTTATTTTCTAGCTGAACTTACGGTAAGTTATCTTAACGAGCATCAGACAGAACATCTTGGCCCTGTATTAGGAATAGATTGCAGCCTTTCAATTTTTCATACCCAGTGACCTGGAAAGCCTCATGAATGTGTAACAATGACCACATAATAAAATGTCTCATCCAAATACATGCTCCATGTAAAAATCAAGAGATGCCTGAGTTCCTTGCTTTGAAACATGTGTTAAGATTTCTGAGCTGTATTGCTGGACTTACCTATGGGGACAAAACCTGTGATGGTGTGATCATTCTTATGGCACCTAGAAACAAATAAAGCTGTTATCATCAGAGCTTTAGAGTTTACACAACCATTAATCATTGTTGATGAGGTTAATTGGTTCTTTCACATTTTCTACCTGTCTTGTCAGATATTCAAAGGTTATAGGAGTATTATAATTTGCCCCATTGGCAACATATTGCAAAGTCGGAAATCTGTTATTACACTGCATGCCTCTGAGCCAAAAATCTTATCTCATGCCAAGTGTGAATAAATACAATAAACAAAAAGAAACTAATCGTAAATGCATAGTAACTCATAATAATAACATGTTGTTTTGGATCTTACAAAAATTTAAGTGAGACTTGGTGAATTTAGACTTAAAAATAAATTTTGATCACACCGCAATTTGTTTGAATTTGGGCCGATTGTTTGATTAGCGGAATTTCTGAACCTTGAACTGAAATGTACCCAAATCACAAAAAAAACGTATGTCCATTTCGCTTTGTGATTCCAAATTCTACCTACGGCACCAAAAAAAAGAGAGATTTGGCAAGACAAAAAAAGGAACGGTGAAATTTATATATTATATATTTAATTAATAATTTAAGCTTATTACATGCATGTAATACAATTGTAACTTAGACACTGATAGCTCCGCCTGTGGATCTATTTCAGAATGCCTACTTGGTATAATCACTGTTTGAGTGAATTGTACACTGGCTTATTTCCTCTACTACATCCATAGGCACCATACTTATGGTTTTATATTATTTAGCAGATTGTGGTATTAGCTTGGTTGTGTTTGCTACATTTGATGTATACTACATTATGATTAGTGGGTTTAATATATTTAATGAGTTTTTCTGGTTTGTGGTCTACAAATATATAGTCTTTGTCTAACTATATTCATAAGGGAATCCTGTTTAGAGTATTCGTTGCATGTTTATTTCTCATTCCTTTTTGTCCAATAAAGATAGATAAACAATTCATGCGATAATAGTACAAAATCTCAAGAGGAGCATTGGTTAGACTCCCTTTTTCTTGTTTAGCCACTGGTACAAATCGGTTACACTCCTACCACCCCCGATATTAAGCCATCAAGTTTAGATGGGATTAGAG